CCCGCGCCCCCTGAGCGACACCACCAGGTGAGGGAGCCGCGGGGGGCAGCGCGGGGGCCAGCAGGGTAGGGGCCGCGGGCCCTGCGTACGGTTTGGGGTGCCTTCCCCTGAGGGGGAAGGGATGACGCGGAGTGGTGTTGGGGGAGGCGGCTGGCGATTCCAGGGGACGCTAGGAAAAGGAAGTTCCGGGACCCTCCCTGCTCCTGGCCCACCTCCGCTTCCTGCCTTATGCCTCACCTTGTCCTCAGAGTCCGGACTCTCCCTAACAGCTTGGGAAATGTGACCTTTACACTGGGGGGGCCTGTCCCTGCAGGCCCCCAAGCCTTCGCACATCCCTGGAGGCTCCCTTGGGCCTCTGACCTAACCCTTCCCCAGCCAGGCTCTTGAGCTGGCTCCTAGGACTGTGCCCTGGGCACAAGTGGGCACCTGCGCCAGCCCCACCTGTGCCTGCCCCACCTGTGCCCGGGCTGTGCCCTTTTCTACAGGGCGCTCACCATGGCCCCACCACTTCTGCTGTTGCTGCTGGCCAGTGGAGCAGCTGCCTGCCCACTGCCCTGTGTCTGCCAGAATCTGTCGGAGTCGCTGAGCACCCTTTGTGCCCACCGAGGCCTGCTGTTTGTGCCACCCAACGTGGACCGGCGCACAGTGGAGCTGAGACTGGCTGACAACTTCATCCAGGCCCTGGGGCCACCTGACTTCCGCAACATGACTGGGCTGGTGGACCTGACGCTATCCCGCAATGCCATCACTCGCATTGGGGCCCGCGCCTTTGGGGACCTGGAGAGCCTGCGTTCCCTGCACCTGGATGGCAACAGGCTGGTGGAACTGGGCACTGGCAGCCTGCGGGGGCCCGTCAATCTGCAGCACCTCATCCTCAGCGGCAACCAACTGGGCCGCATCGCGCCAGGGGCCTTTGACGACTTCCTGGACAGCCTGGAGGACCTGGACCTGTCCTACAACAACCTCCGGCAGGTGCCCTGGGCTGGCATCGGGGCCATGCCAGCCCTGCACACCCTGAACCTGGACCACAACCTCATTGACGCGCTTCCTCCGGGTGCGTTCGCCCAGCTGGGGCAGCTCTCCCGCCTTGACCTCACCTCCAACCGCCTGGCCACACTGGCGCCTGACCCACTCTTCTCCCGGGGGCGGGACGCGGAGGCCTCCCCTGCCCCCCTGGTGCTGAGCTTCAGCGGGAACCCCCTGCACTGCAACTGTGAGCTGCTGTGGCTGCGGCGGCTGGCCCGGCCTGATGACCTGGAGACGTCCGGCCTGGCTGGCCGCTACTTCTGGGCGGTGCCCGAGGGCGAGTTCTCCTGTGAGCCGCCCCTCATTGCCCGCCACACGCAGCGCCTCTGGGTGCTGGAAGGCCAGCGGGCCACGCTGCGGTGCCGGGCGCTTGGCGACCCTGTGCCTACCATGCACTGGGTTGGCCCTGATGACCGCCTGGTTGGCAACTCCTCCCGAGCCCGGGCTTTCCCCAACGGAACCCTGGAGATTGGGGTGACAGGCGCTGGGGATGCAGGGGGCTACACGTGCATCGCCACCAACCCTGCGGGTGAGGCCACAGCCCGAGTAGAACTGCGGGTTCTGGCTTTGCCCCATGGTGGGAATGCCAGTGCTGAGGGGGGCCACCCCGGGCCCTCGGACATTGCTGCCTCGGCTCGCACTGCAGCCGAAGGAGAGGGGACTCTGGAGTCAGAGCCAGCTGTGCAGGTGACAGAGGTGACTGCCACTTCAGGGCTGGTGAGCTGGGGGCCAGGGCGGCCAGCTGATCCCGTGTGGATGTTCCAGATCCAGTACAACAGCAGTGAGGACGAGACCCTCATCTACCGGTGAGGACGCGCACTTGGCTCTGCTGCCATCCCTCTGGTCTCTGCTCCCCTCTCGGGCCCTTATATCCCCCTCAGCATTTGAGCTCGTAGTAGTGGCTGGGCCTGGCCGCCGGGGGTGCATTGGGGCTGCAGGGGAAGAGGAGCTGTCTGGCTCAGGTGGGCAGGTCTGACATGGCTCAAACCGGGTTCCTTATTTGTCTCCCCTCCCCCACCCAAACCCTGCATGCTTCCCAGCTTGCCTGGGCCTGGGTGTCATCACACATACCCATCTGTTCCCTGGCACTGGCTCCTGCCCCACACGCACCTGTCTTTGCTTCTCTGCCTTCATCAAGGAACACAAGACCTGTGTGGAGTCTAGAGGAGGGGGGCTTAGAGCTAGAGCCTGGAAGCAGGGCTGGGTATTGGGGATCTGTGAAAGGGGCTGCAGGTTTGGGCTGTGGGGACACAGCTGGTTAGACCCAGCCCTGGCACGCTGACAACCTGCTCTTGCCCTCAGGATCGTCCCAGCCTCCAGCCACCACTTCCTGCTCAAGCACCTGGTTCCCGGGGCCGACTATGACCTCTGCCTGCTGGCCCTGTCACCTGCTGCTGGGCCCTCCGACCTCACGGCCACCAGGCTGCTGGGCTGTGCCCACTTCTCCACACTGCCAGCCACGCCTCTGTGCCATGCCCTGCAGGCCCATGTACTGGGCGGGACCCTGACCGTGGCTGTGGGGGGTGTGCTGGTGGCTGCCTTACTGGTCTTCACTGTGGCCTTGCTGGTTCGGGGCCGGGGGGCCGGGAATGGCCGCCTCCCCCTCAAGCTCAGTCACGTGCAATCCCAGACCAATGGAGGCCCCAGTCCCACCACCAAGA